GCTTTATCACGTTTTTATTGTGATGACCAAAAACACTATAATAGTTCAAAATAATGTAACAGATCAAAAAACTATAACAAATGAAAAAAATTTTAGGGATAATTTGATTTTTAATTAAAGATACTATTTGAAAAAAAAAATAAAAGAGTAATACCAATTGAAAATTTCTAAAAAATATATGAATATTTTCTAGAGAAATTATCCATCTTAATTCACTTTGGATATGAAAAAAAAACACACACACACATCCAAAGGAAAATAAAATGATAATTTCAATAGGATGAGGATTTCTTTACAAACAACAGCAGCTCGGTTCAAATACTACACATGTAATTGCATGGCAACTCTTTAAAGATTAAGCACAACACAAGCACAAGAAGAATGATTCTTTATGCTCGACACCACAGCCACGAGGACCAGAAAATTCCGCCTGTAAAGCAAAAGGCTACCACGCATTGTAGAGGTTCTCCATAAAGCACAGATTGTTCACAAGTTTTATATTGAAAAGAAATTTACTGCAATTTTTAATTGTGCCAATACCATTTGGAGCTGTATCCACAAAGTTCTTTTTGATGAGTCCTTTGTAAATGGATGAAGAGATCAAATCAGCTGATGATCCACTATTAACAGGCAAACATAGATTTAGGATTTCATCTCTTCATCCTAACATTCCATACAACCATACAACAATTATGCAGCTGCATGCAAGTTTAGAAAGAACACATAATAAAACAAAGTCCATTTTTTTAGCATGTTGATAATGATAGAAAGCATTACTGAAATCACAACAAAATTTGGTTACTCAGATCACATGGCAGATAAAAAATTGCTTACTTCTTAATAGAATTTTCATCTCACTTGGTAAGATGAAGGTACTTCCATTGACAAACTAACAAGAAAACCTGAGTGTAATTGGTGGAAGAAAACATCCATCAGGAGCGAATGAATTATAAGATGTAGTCAAAATGTTTTCACTCCAGTAGGACAAGAAAAGCACCCCTTTACATACAAGTCATAGATGGACATAACAAATATTAATGTGATGCAGATGCAATTTATATATAGCCAAGAAAATTTCTTAGATAAAGATTAAAACTGTATACTGAGAAACCTTATTGTAAGTTTTTGTATCTAAAACCAGTTAAACATCACATCCAACTTTAAGAATAATTTGTGACACTTAACAACCACATGAAGAAAAGAATTTGGCCCAGAAATTGACAGTGCCAACCTACACATTAAATTTTTTTCTGTAGCATTGATTTTGATAATACATTCTCAAAATACTTGTGAAACTAGATATGCAGACGGAAGAGACCACAGACAACATCACATCATGTGAATATTCATTCAGAAATGCTCTGCAAAGGAATGAGAGATTAAAGTAACTAACAGGCGTTTGTAGAGTAAAGGAATTCATCTGCTACATTGATTTAGACACTGGTGTTAACTGTGTGCATTTCCAACTCTGGTTTCTCAAAGTGTGGTTGCAGTCGAAGTATCACACACATAATTGACCATCACAGGCACATAGGGACATGACGTGTTCCTTCTTTAAGCTGGACAGAAAACTTACCATGGCTAGGTATTTGTAGTCTGATGTTACTCTGAAGAAACTAGCAAAATAAGCATGACACTTCTTGCAAAACCTACGAGCACTATGTTTGGCAAATACAAGTTTGTTCTTGTGCTATATACTGAAGCACCAACTATAATAGTTGCAGAAACATGTTCAGTAGCTGAGGTGCTATATATCCCAAAATTATGTGTGATCAACTGATTTGTAGTTCAGACAAATAAATGACTTGACATCGGCTTCACTCCATAACCTATCTATGTGAGATGAGTTAGAATGTACATGCACTTCGATGCATGGTAATTCTGAGGAATCTACACTATGCAAGTTGATCAAAGTTTTGCATCATGATAACACATGGAAAGAACATTCGATCTATTGTACCACCAAGATACTGTAACATTACTATCCATGTCCACAATCATAAGATTAAGTAGAACTGTTAAACTGTAAAAGACATTCCAGTCTGTTAAATGCCTTCGTCGAATGGATACAATGCAAGGCACTGGCAAATAATGTCATATTTGACGATAGAGTAAGTTGCTGACCAGAACTAACATAGTTTTTGAATCAAAGCTAAATAGAGTTCAAGTTACATGCATAAGAAAATTCCAAGATGACATGCCTGTGAGAAAAAGAGCTCCTTCAGCAATTCCATGCCGATACTGATATAAGTTCCCCATGCTGCCAACAGAGGGAAAGTGAAGATTGGCGCTTCTCCACATGGAAACCCCTAACCAGCACCCTCTTCAGAAGACACTCTGCTTGCATCTCTGTGAAGTTGCTGAATTGCATAGGCACAAATCCAGCAGACACAAATAGAGTTCTCCAAGGCAGCACTTTCTCCGACAAACAATGGTGACCTAGAACAGCACTTTCGACCCTTGGTCGCACTAGGAACTGTTCGAACTTGTTAGCTGCATCCTGATTGGCACCTGCTGCATCAATTGAGTCGAGGAGCACTGTGCATGACTGGAATGCATGGAGGATGTGATGAGCAAAGGGCAGGTCACTGCGATCACATCCATGATCAACCGAGACCAAGATCTTCGGGGAGAGCTGCTTCACGAAATCTATGAGAGTTGGGAAGGGTGGGCGAATTGCGCAACCTACAGGGAGGTTTATGGCAATGGCCTCATCAACAGCAGAACACCTTCCGAGGAGAACTGATGGGTCGAAGGGGTCGAGACTAAGGAAATTGAATTCGAAGGGGATGTTGAGGCTGCCGGCAAAACGGCACAGGTTCTGGTGGATCAGATGGAGCTCCAAGGGGTGGTGGGTGCAGGGCGAGGTAAAAGCCGATATTTTCAGGCATGGAGTGGCAGCCATTGTTGAGGACCACTGCTGGGCAAGCTCCTGCATGAAGACTGACCACTGCATGCCGACCCCAATGTCAAAGTCGATGATGTGGATGCATCTCGCGCCATCAAGCGCCTCCAAGAGGGGTTGGATGGAGGTGAAGATGGCGAATTGGACGATGGGGGAGACGTCGGAGAAAGTCTTGTAGGTTCCAAGCTTGAGCACAACGTCCAACGGCGTCAAGATTCGGTTCGGAAGAGGTGGAGGTGGGTGGGGGGAATGCCCGGCGAGGAGGTGGAGAGCCTCCTTGAAGTAGAAGGCGGACCGCAGGAGTGGCTTCCCTACGGGAAAGGGGAGCTGGTGATTGAGCCGCGCCAATATCCCTCGGGCACTGACGGTGTTCCCGACCTCGATCAACTCGGCCGCCTTGAAGAGCTGGTCGCTCAGTGCCTTCTGCTCCTGTGCCACGGCTGCCGCAGCAGCGGGTGCCTCATCTCCGCTTGCTAAATTGGGTTTTGCCGGTCCTGGTTGAAGCTGGCATGCAGATGCGTTGAACTGCTGAGAGAATCCCGGCTGCTGGGGCGGGTTGGGGCGGCGGAGTTCAGGGGCACGGGAGATGGGGAAGGGGTGGACGGCAGGGCGTCTACGGGGAGACGAGCCAAGATGCCGCGGTGGCTGACCCCCATGGTGGCCGGTGAACTGATGCAAAGGGAGGAAGAAGGAAGATTGATGCGGGAATCGGGCCTGCTGTTGCTGAGCTAAGAGCAGGCTCGGGCAGAGGAATGGCTTCCCCTCCGTGGATTCTTGGAAAAGGACTCTGGGCTGTGTGGGAGATAGAAGCACGGGAAGGGTAGTCGCTGCGGGAGGAGGGAGGCAGGAATTGGGATTCACACTTCCACACCCAAAGGTGGCACCACTGGCAGAGAGAACAGAGGAAGTCGGCGGAAGAGGATTAATGACTTCCGCCGACACCGAAGCACCTTCTAACACGAGAGCTGGATCGAAATGCGATCGGGTGCCACCATGGCCAACAGAAGAGGTGTTGTCGGCTTCGCTGGTGATCCACCGGAGAAAGGTCTGGTCTTGGCCGATAGAGGCGGCCTGTTCCAAAAGCAAGGCCTCCCAGACGCCACCGAGGGAGCACTCCTCATCAGCGGGGACGGGCAGGAGTTCCTCCTCCCTCCGGGCCTCTTCCGCCGCCGGTGGAGTGGCGGAGTCCGAGCCGTCGGAGGAGGCCGGCCCTCCGCCGCCACCGCCGCGGGTGGGGTACAGGTTGGAGGCGGAGCTTGGCGGGCTGGGGCTCCGCAGGCTTTCCAGAACCGACCGCGGCTCCAACACCAACCTTTCCTGGTCGTCTGCCCTCTCCTTCCACCTAGTATTACTATTGCTATTATCAGCAGCAGTAGCAGAAGAAGAAGCACACCAAAAGAGGCCTTCTTCGCCTTCTAAGACCTGCAGAGGAGCCCCCTTCTCTTGGAGAGAAAGGGGCATCCCTCCTCCCATCGAACAATCAGCAACACAGCCGCCACTTCCACAGACTCCAACAAAAATCCCGCTACGATCTCCACCAACAAGCACTCGTACCCACCTGAACTTTGTCTGCAACCTGCTGCTACTCTCCTCTGATGACGGGTGCTGAAACTAGTGCAGCATTTTTAATCCCGACTGAGCAGAAGCTATCCAAGATCTCTCTTTTCTTACCTCGTCTTCCCCTCCAAGATCAATTCTCCTCTCCTCTCCTCATCGGTACATGGAACGAGATGCGACGGGGTGGCGACGGAAGAAAGAACAAAGGTCGGAATCAAGGGAATGAGGTGGAACCGCGGAAAAATGATCCGCTATACCTTCCTCTCTCTCTCTCTCTCTCTCTTGCGAAGAAGAATGCGTGCAACCTCGGAATCAAGGGAAAGGTCGTCGAATGCTTCTTCTCGCCCTCTATCTTACCGTCATCCATAAAAATTAAAAGAATAAAAAATAATGTTGTCTAATTTATCTCAATCTTTTAATATATCGAAACTGAGATTTAAACCTTATCAAATCATATAATAATCTTTAAAGGTTTAGGAGGACATATTTGCCCTTTTGGTAGATTCTTTTCAACGCTTACGGATGAAAGCTAATTATCGATTATTATTTGAGTTAAGATATATTTTAACCCTAATAATAATTTTAATTATGGATCTTAAGTTTATATAGACTCTTTAAGTTTTTATAATTTACTTGTATGTAAAATAATCTTTATATTTTAAAAAAATATAGTTTATAAGTTCCTCTCATCAAATTTAAGTTAACCCACGTTATAGTTTGATTATGTTATATGCTAGTTCATAATAAATTATTAATATAATTACATATAATTTAGAGTTAAGGTCTATTTTAACTCATGTAGTTTTGGTTATGAATCTTTTAAGTCTTTATAATTTACTCATGTCTAAAATAATATTTATATTTTAAAAAATATAGTATATAAGTGTCTCCCATCATGTCTGAATTAACCAATGTTAGAATATGTTTATGTGGCATGTTGACTTATAATAAACTATTAATATAATGATACGTATAACTTAAGTTAAAAAAAACTAATATTTCTATCAATAGCAATAGGAGGCATCGTCGTGTAAGTGACCATTAGTAACAGTATCGAGTTGTTGTTACCTAGTAGGGTGTCGTACACACGTAGTCTCTCTCGAACTAACGATAAGCTTAAGAGCTTCCAGTCCTGCCTCAGGTGGATGTGCGTTGATCAATTCGATACTAGGCACACAGTGGTCTCCTGATCCCTCTTCCTCCTCTTGGGTGTCCTCATCCCTATTGCTACTCACTTCGTCCTCCCCTATGCCCCCACCTATCGCACCTACAATGTGATAGTCCAACTCTCCATTATCTCCACCTTTGACCTCTCATACCTCTGTTTCCCCACCTTTGTTCATCGCTATGACCTCCGCTACTTCCTCTTTATCAACAAGCTAATTAGGGAGAGTAAGCGGGTGTGAGAGGGTTATATGGACCAGCTCAATCACTCCTTTTGTATACTCTCCGTCTTCATGATGTCGTGCTTCACGAGGGAGATAGCTTACAAGGTATTATGACATTCGTTGGGATCGAAGTGGGTGTTGTTTGTGATTGCAAGTAACATCGTGGTAGGTGACATGGTGGCCTGCACCCTAGAGTTGGTGAGTGACATTCGAAATCTCTTGAGCTTATAGTCTATGTGAGAGAGGCTTTCATGCATACAATGTCCTGCTAAGTAGTAGCAACTCGGTGCTGCTACTGGTAGTCACTTCCACGACGATGTCTCCTCTCGCCATTAATGGAGGTCTTCATTCTTTAAAAAAAAATTAAATTATACATGTTATTATATTAATAATTTATTATAAGTTAACATATCACGTAAACAAACTCTAACGTCTGTTAACTCATACGATGAGAGGAGCTTATATATTACGTTTTAAAATATTTATAGATTATTTTAGACACGAGTAAATCATAAGGGCTTAAGATGTTAATGATCAAAATCATATGAGCTAAAAATAAATCTTAATCATAAATTATATATGTTATTATATTAATAATTTATTATGAGTCAACATACCATGTTCTAACGTCCGTTAACTCATACTCGATTGAAGAAATTAATATATTATATTTTAAAAAATATAGAGATTAATTTAAACATCAATAAACTATAAGGACTTAAGAGATATATGACCAAAATTGAAACTTAACCCTTATTATTTCGAATAGATTATCTAATAAAAAAAGTATTAATGCAGAAAATGAGTAAATTATCTTTGTACATAGTTGCATCGATTGGACGGTCCTGATCTTTGATCTAGTTGGTGGGACCGGCTTCTTTATTTATTTTGTTTGGCCAGCGCGCGAAGATCGTTTGCCCCAAATTGGGGACCGGACAACACCGCACGCTCGCCAATCACGGAGGATCAATTCCCGGGGCCCACCAACGTAGGCCACTTATGTTCGAGTAAGCAGAGGGAAACGGTTCATCAGAGCCGTCGGATGACGATCGAAGCGTCCCATCGACGGCGCAGGAGACAGGGGAACGCTGCCAGGCTGGTGCCTGTTCTTTCGATGGGCCCCTTACGGCGACGGGTCGCTCCGGGGACGGCTTTATCTGATCATTGTTATCTGACCAGAGTACCCCTCGGATCCAGCGATTGTTACTGCCTCTGCCCTCTTCCTCATGAATGTTTATTTTGTTTACTATGATTACAGAACTCAAACGTCAACAGCGTCAATGATTTAATAGCGTGAGTGGCTTGGTATCTACCATTTATTATCCGCCTATCAATCTGTGCAGTGAGTGTTGATGTTGGGATAAACAGTGACCGATACATCAGTGTTTCGTGATTGACATGTTAGTATTATATGATTTATATTGCAAGCCTTCACAATAAACAGTTTGCACACTCCAAGCCTCCTAATTGCTCTCTCTCTCTCTCTCTCTCTCTCTCTCATAAGAAAAGGTCAAGGAAGGGCGACAACGGTGGTGGCCAAGAACTGTGGAGGGTGTTCCCTTGTCCATGCCAAAAAGAAAGGACCGAGTACTGTGTTTGCATGAGAATTGAGGAATCACTGGAGACATGCACAGGGCCAGTGCTTACTTTCTAGAGGAAACCATGATGTGAAGGGTGGACAACACGTAAAGATATGCTTAGTTTAGATCAGACCCCATGCGATGGCTCACAAGCCTCTCCTACCTCCTTCCTCTTTTCCACTGGGAATCGGAAAGCAACACGCATCACCTTGCGTTTACAACGAAAACCTCTCCTCGAAGTGGAGTTCAAATGAACCCTCCCTCGTCTCCTCTCCTCGACACCTTTTTACATGGTACGATTCTTGCAGGCCAGGAAAACGGGGACGGAGACATGTTCTTTCCTCTCCTCCATGGACTTCCTTCGCTTCAAGCAATATCCCAAGTGACGCGTTCACCGGGATTAACACATTTAAGTTTGTGTTAGTTCATTCTATCATTACGAGACAACTTTAGCTAGTATTTTGACGTAAAATGCATTCAAAGAATGTACAAGTTGTAGTATGTCCGAGTTACTGTAATGTACATCAAAATGCTTGCCAAAGAAGGTGTTCCTTGCAATGTAGAACTACTGTTGACTCCCAAAATAGTAGCTTCTTAATGATCCATCTGGTTCTCAATCATATACAGCGACCTGTATTTGTGGCATTTTCTAACAAGATTATGTGGTTCGATGAGATATATTAGCCAATTTACTTATCCTTCCGAGATAACAGGGAATTGGTTGACTTGCAAATGGTGAAAGGAGATACAATCTATGTGAATTGATTATCGATGAAGATAAGATGTCATCGATCGATAGTTACAGGTCGAGTTTCTGTTGAAGCTCCCACAGAGTGTTGGCGGATCGTCGAAGGCGGGCAGCCTCCTCGTCACTGAGATGGATATTGGCGACGCTGAGAACGCCGCTACGGCCGAGCTGGGCGGGGAGGCTGAGGAAGACCTCGCGGTCATCGGGGATGCCGTAGAATCCCTTGGCGAGCAGAGAGACGGGATGGATGCGGTGTTGATCGCGAAGCAGAGATCGGGCGAGGTTGGCCGCCGAGTAGCCAATGGCCCAGGATGTATAGCCCTTGAGGCGGATCACCTCGTACGCGCTCTCCACCACCGCCTTCCGTATCTTCTCCAGTACTCCTTGCTCCATGACTGCCTTGTCGTTGGTGAGTTGGCTCAGTATGGGCACTCCGCCCACGCTCATGCTTGACCACAGCGCCACCGAACTGTCACCGTGCTCCCCCACCATGTACGCCTGTCCATTTGCATCGATTACTTTCAGACATGTATGATCCAGCCGTTCGTGCGGCGGTAGCTAATGCTGATGGATGGATGGAATGATGATGAGTTCTTCGCCTACCTGGACATCTTGAGCGTTGACTTCCAGGTGATCGGCGAGCAGGAACCGGAAACGCGAGGAGTCCAGGTTGGTCCCCGACCCGATCACCCTGTTGGGCGGAAACCCCGACAGCTTCCAGGCGATATACGTCAACACGTCCACCGGATTCGACACCACCAGCAGCAGCGTCCCCGGCGAGTACCTCGCCAGCGGCGGCACGATCTCCTTGAACAGCGCCAGATTGCGCTGCAGCAGGTTTAGTCGCGTCTCGCCCGGGATCTGCCGAGCGCCGGCCGTGATGATGCAGACATCCGAGTTCGCCGTCACCGCGTAGTCCGGAGACGCCAGGATCCGGGTGCGCGGGAGAAAGGCCGCGGCGTGCTGCAGGTCCAGCATCTCCCCCTGCAGCTTGTCGGGCTTGGCGTCCACCAGCGCCAGCTCGTCCGTCAGGTCCTGCGTCAGGATCGTCTGGGCGATGGCCATGCCCACGTTCCCGGCACCGATCACGGATATCTTGGTGCGACGCTGAGTGGGAGACGGCGGCGCCGCCTGCTGGATAGGGCGGAACAGGGTCCTGTGTATGTCATCAGCGAAGCCGAGCTCCGAGAGAGATGACACCTTCTTCATCTTCTCAGGCCGAAGCTATGAACAGGATGGTAGCAGAAGACAGCTAGGGATTGGCTATCAGTGTGGGTTTTCTTTATCTATGATCTGTCGCAGCTCCTCTTAGACGCACTTTATAGAGAGAGAATTGAATCACGCTCCTGGCGTTATTATAACTCGATGTGCAGATTGGCCAGGCTTATAGAAAGTGTCTTTCCACCATCTCCATCTGACGAACAGTGGCCCATATTCTTTAAGATAGCCTGTTTTCCGAGTTCACTGGTTTTGTAATGGCGGCACCTACGGTTTATGATCTTGGAAATTAGAAAGGAGGAAGACGACCCGAGATCTAAGCGGATGCTTCTCAAACGAACACAAGCTGTGCCTATATGCTACTTTCCCCAAGTCCCACACACGCAGCAGTACCTATGAGACGCCTACCAGCGCTGAAACCCAGCGAGGTTTTCACGTGGTCGCTCGTGATACGCTCTGTTTCATGCTTTCTGCGAACGCCGAGGAGAGACGATGACGCGTTGAAAGGGGAGAGAAGTGACGTGGCCCTCAACTCAAAGTCTTGAGGCGGTCGGCCGAGGCACCACCGACAGGCGTGAGAGCCACCTTCGTCCAACTTGGTCGGCGGGTCAGTAACGCCAACTAACGGAGCGCAATTGTCTGCCACACGAATCGAAGCGTGAAACGAAACCGCTAAAACTGGATTCCATTGGCTCCGTTGTTTGTTGCCGGTTGGTTACATGCCAATATGGTTTTTAGTTGATACATCGATTAGCTTATTGTTATGGCCTCGGCATACGTACATATATATGTACTATGTTAGCCCGGTCAACGTTCAAGGCCACGGGTCAATTTGTCGTAAACCGTCGGCGCTGCGCGTGATGGAATGCCTCCATATGCTGACCGAAGGCTGTGCGTACGTGTTACGAGCATGTGCTAAACCTTCTACCAGACAAAAGTTCTCTGCGTTTCTCGGACGCAGAAGTGGAATGGAAGGTTCCACCGGTGTAGTCTCTTCAACATCTAGATGGTGTTGCTTGGGATCCAAGACACACTGCTTCTGCGGTAGCCACTAATGAACATTCAACGGTGACTAAGAATGGTGACTCTCTCTCTCTCTCTCTCTCTCTCGCTCTATAAAAGCAGCACGAAGGAGGCGAGAGATATCACAAACACAAGTTCCTGAGTGGTCGACTGCTTTCATTCACAACCATATAGTCTCCTGCTATTTGCCTAAGAATCGATTTCTCTGTCCGTGGTGGTTCTGCGTCTATCGATCTGAGATGAAGAAGGCGTCGTCCCTCTCCGAGCTCGGCTTTGCCAACGACGTCCACCATGCTTTATTCCGGCCGATCCAGGAAGCAGCACCACCCTCCCCGACGAAGCGCCACACCAAGATCTCCGTGGTGGGCGCAGGAAACGTGGGCATGGCCATCGCGCAGACCATCCTGACGCAACACCTCGCCGACGAGCTCGCGCTCGTCGACGCCAAGCCCGACATGCTCCGCGGGGAGATGCTGGACCTGCAGCACGCCGCGGCCTTCCTCCCCCACACCAAGATCCTCGCCTCGACCGACTACTCCGTCACCGCCGGCTCCGACATCTGCATCATCACCGCGGGCGCTCGCCAGCTCCCTGGGGAGACGCGGCTCAGCCTCCTCCAGAGAAACCTGGCGCTGTTCAAGCATATCGTGCCGCCGGTGGCAAAGCACTCGCCGGGAGCGCTGCTGCTGGTGGTATCGAACCCGGTGGACGTGTTGACCTACATTGCTTGGAAGCTCTCAGGATTCCCGCCCAATCGGGTCATCGGATCCGGGACCAACCTCGATTCCTCCCGCTTCAAGTTCCTTCTGGCTGAGCATCTGGAAGTTAACGCTCAAGATGTACAGGTATACGATCGATTTGCATTCACTGCTGCTATCCCCACATGTCTCGTACTCATCTCGTGCGTGCAAATGATTTCCCAGGCGTACATGGTAGGGGAGCACGGTGACAGCTCCGTGGCACTGTGGTCCAGCATCAGCGTGGGGGGAGTGCCCATACTGAGCCAGCTCACGAAAGACAAAGCTGCAATGGAGCAAGGAGTGCTAGAGAGGATCAGGAAGGCCGTGGTGGAGAGCGCGTACGAGGTGATCCGCCTCAAAGGCTACACATCTTGGGCTATCGGCTACTCGGTGGCCAGCCTCGCCCGATCCCTTCTTCGCGATCAGCACCGCATCCATCCCGTCTCTCTGCTCGCCAAGGGATTCTACGGCATTCCGGAAGACCACGAGGTCTTCCTCAGCCTTCCTGCCCAGCTCGGTCGCAGCGGCGTCCTCAGCGTCGCCAATATCCAGCTCAGCGAGGAGGAGGCTGCCCGTCTCAGGCGTTCCGCCGACACCCTTTGGGAGCTGCAACGCCAACTCGAGATTTGAGTCTCGATTAAGATCTACGCTGGACGTCACCACCTAATTAATTAACATGTTAAATAATAACGGCGTTTGCCGACGCGCTTTGTTTTGATTCGTGGAACAGAAATCATTACTATGTATTTGCTTTTGAGAGAAATGAATATAACCCCTATTTTTAGATTTACATGGCGGTATCAGAATAGGATACGTAAGCCGCAATTGGTTTGGTTAAGGTTAAGAGTCCATTTGGATCTTTTATAATATTTTCATTGTAATGATCAAAATAATATAATAAATTAATTTTTATTTCTATTTGGGTGATGTTATTCTTAAATTATTATAAATACCTATTTGAATCATAATATTATATCTCAAATGATTGTCAGTGTATTTTAGTTTCATTTGATTTATATACAGTATTTTTAAGTAAGCATCACGGCATCTTTATTGTGATGGTCAAAATATTATAACAGGTAAAAAAATATAAAGAAAGTTTTTGAGAAACAGTTTAGCTATTTTTTTTAAATCAGGAGAAAAAAAGGGTATCGTTTTAAAAAATATCTAAAATATGAATATTTTCTTAAAAATCATCCTATTATTTATGTTCTCGCCAACAGAGGCCGACCTTTCCGAGTCACCGTTAAAGCGAAGCACTAATAAGTTTATGCCTTGTGCTCTCATCTCGAGTCCGTCCATTGGCTCCTTTAGGCTCGGTGGAGGAATCGGATAAGGTAACGGTGAAACTTGGGAGAGCTTATGGACAGTTTTCTACCGTTGCGAAACCAGTGAATGAGGAAGCAGTTTACGATCGAAATCGATGTTGACAGCCGTCCGAGTTGTCAAACGTTGTGTCCAAAGTCAATCCTGACAACTAAGAGAACTACAGTTCTTCCACAAAGAAATTTGTCCTTCGCGTGCTTCCTGGAAAATAAAGTCCAACATTATTTTCAATAACACTGCTGTCCGGATAGCCATAGAGAGCAACGTGATAATTTAAGCACATTTTTCAACAAGTCATAAAGACTCTTCTTATTTCAAAGATACTGTTTTCTTGATGTCAGAAAATTCCAAGTATTTCACATGAAATTAAATGATTAAGATGAATTATTACGAAGTTCCATAAGGCATATACTAAAAGTTACCGATACTTGGTGTCGTTTACAGGTTGCCTTCAAAGTTTCATATATAGAAGAAAAGACGAGGCCGCAATCTAGAAAAAGAAGTTCAAATCATCTTTCTTTACCTTCTGTGTTATGACTTCGTCCAGTTTGGTTTTGCTTTCTGTGTTACAACTTCATGATGATATACCCTATAAGAGCACCATCGACACCACCACGTTGTGTTTTTTCCTCAGCAGATCCTGCAATTGCCATTAGAGTGAGCCACAATATCATGATAATAACCAGGAATCTTTTGCACCATGTTTACAATCAAACTGGAGCTCCTGGCAAAACTAAATATCAGGCCTCTTTCATCGATATCATGGTCTGAGATATAAACCAATACATCAGTGTTAGTGGATCAACCGAAGGGTATAAGAATCATCAAAATTGTTTGCATTGTAGTTTCATAATATAGGGAAAGAATCAAAATGAAATTCTAAATTGTTGTAAGCTATACAGAAGTGTCACCATGGTTCCTGTGCTGGCATTTTCGGAGTCTTTTGCAATGTATTCCTGGTTTCTTACAGCACCTTTTATATTGAAACAGACTCAAATGATAGACGAACAAGATATGATTTAGTGTTCAGATTAGAGAGATATCAAAATGAAGAACTAGATACACGAGAATTGTACATTTCAAACTACAGCAGTCTTTTTCACCATATGCAATATAAAAAATATATATATCATATTCTGTACCTCAGGATGAAAAGACTGACGGAACTGGGTATTTCCATACTTTAATGAAAGTATATGATTTTACTTTAATGAAAGTATTTCCATTCGGCATTTTAATGAGTTCAGAATAAAAATTGGATACGAAAGGTACATAGACAATAAATAGAATTGAAACATCAAAGTTCCAATCACCAGCATAATCTACTAGATTTTCATTACAACCTATTTACCAGTTTATAAGCACTATGAATGGCAAAAATGCTAGCCTTTAGTTGTATCATACATTTGTATGTGATTTGAAATGTGTACCAGTTCCTGCCGAAGCTTTCTGGTTTTGTTGAATGGCAGTATGTTTCTCTTCAGTCAACTTTGAAATCATAGCCAATGCCTGTATATTGGAAAAGGTAATCAAATTACTAATATCATGAATAACCAGCAGTGTGTATAAGGCTCATTCTTGAGGCCTCATAATAAGAATTAAATGTCAGGCAACAATGTTAGGTATAATGTAGCAATCAGATAAAGAGTCAAGTAAATTTTAGCAAAACTAATGTGTCTAGTATTGGGAAAACAAGCCCTTCCTGAAGCCCAAGCTTACTGATCCCATTGTGGCTACGGTCCAATTCACAAATCAAGGTTCATACAAATAGATGGACAAAGTTCACCTAAACATATCAGAGCCCCTAAATTCAGCTTATTCCTTTTTTGCTCCATAATGCGTAGATAATTCAAGAGGAGGAAGAAAATGTAATAAACTAGGTCTTACAGTGGCAAGCAGCCACAAGTAACCATCATTGCCAAATATAGACAAATCACCCCACAAATTCAGTAATGATTTCATCCCTTAAGTCCATTTTCTGTAAATAGAACATTAACAAACAGGTTGAAAATATTCACCCAGTTCCTTAACCACAATTGTCCACTATGTGCTAATAAAGCTGTCGAAAAATGACATGGCAGCATTTGCCTGGAGTTGAGTTTCACCGCTTAAGATCATTTGCTGTAAAAAACTGTTAACAAAAAAGCTGACCACATTCATCTAGTTCCTAAACCACAATTGGTCAATAAGTGCTAATAAAGCTTTGTCATCTGCCCATAGTTCAGTTTCAGGGAGACTTTGAAAGCTTCAACGATGTTGGCATGCCAACCAGAGCTGCATAAATACGGAGTCCAACTACCATGCCAAAGCAATACTGACATGAATTCCCTGCCACATCAAGGAATGTGTCAATGCACCCTTTGTGTTTTTTTTTTTTCTTAGGGTGTGTGTTTGGTTTGCACCAAAAAGTCATGGAAATCTGTTTTCTTTCGGAAGACTTTTATGAGGTTTGTTTATAGAAATGACAAAACTGTATAAGGTTAGCGAACCCCAAATAGTTGAGACTTAGGCTTTGATGTTGTTGTTGCCGTTATACAAATATGGGAAATTGCTTTCAAGATTTTCAACAAAAATTTGGGTATATTTCTTTTCAAAAAAAGAATTTTCCAGTTTCATCTTCATTTTCATCTTTGTTTCTGACTTCATATCTTCGTGGAAAATTTGAAGAAACATGTTCCTTTATTCCTGAAACTATCTTTTATTCTTTTCTAATAATCAATTTGTTGTGTTGTCAAGCTAATAGTGTGGGTGCAGATGGTGATGGTCATGGTGACAGTAGCAACGTAGTGTAAGCAGCATTGGTTATACTATTTCTGTGGTGGTGGTGATGAGATGGTGGTTACAAAAAAGTTATACTAGTGATGATGGTGGGATCTTAATTTCATTAGTTAATCAATAAAGTTTCAATGAACCAAAATGGTGCAATAAAAACACCATATATTACATATCTAAGTATTTCAATGTGACAGCTGACAGGGGCAATGACCTCCATTGGCAATATTACTTGCAGATATGATTAGATGATTAACCAAGTTAAGGATGATAAGATGGATGGTTGTCACAAACTTGTTCAGAATTAGTTCTTCCAGTGCTAATAATCTCCACATCTAAGTTTAAGAAAGCATTACTGATTTCCACATAAGGGGAGCAAAATATTAAACCAAAGAGGCTTTCAAGACAAAACTAACTTATAGGAATTTTGTGAAATTGTTAGACCAAGAACAGATAAAGGGAAGAAGTAACCTCTGAAGACTTCTCCTTTGACGGCTCGCTATATCTTGATACCTGAAAGTTTGTTGAAGTCAATTGAACTAATTGAAGCAAGATAACTCCAGGTATACATAACATAAAAATAAGGACAAGGAACTGTGAATGACATATTAAGGGCCTCAATTAATTGACAGCCACTTACAGAATCTTGTGTTTGTAAACTATGAAGCCCGTTTTCCAATGTGGATGATCCTTCTTCTGGTTCCTCAGGAACAGGTGAGGGAGGACCAGCAGGAACATAAGTGACCCGCAACTTGAACTCATCAACAACCTTACCAGGTTCTTTATTGAACTGATGGTTAGTAGTATAAGTTATAATCACACAACCAAAATTGAACAGAAGAAATACTAAGGTATCCCAATGAACATAGCACAGGTTGGGACCATTTCGGAGGTTATGGCTTAGGTCGTTGCACCATGCTCTGTTATGACACTCTGAAGTAGGAACTTGTCATTGCATTGCATGTCTGATGGAGCCTTCATTTGTGCTTGCATGGTGACAAAAGCATCAAACACAGGAAATAAAGACAAGCAGTAAGACCGAGTACTCTGAACTGACCAAGTATCTACATCTCCAACTAGATCGAGAGATAACAGGGTTTACCAGTGACATCACATGTGGACCTCGGCAATACAATCCTGGTATTGGGGCGGACACAATATTTCTTCGGGTTCGTAGTTTTAACCTATATAACATCAGCAAATATACATATGTATGTCAACATAGAGAATTTATTCCGATTACCACTAAACAAGAAGAAATGGCAGCTGAAAACAAAGAAAAGAATGAGAAAGCGACAATTATTTGATAAGAAAAACGAAAACAATTACCTTGAAAGCAACATATTGATCTGTCTTGTTGGTCAGCTGCATGGAACATGAGCTCTGCTTCTTCAACTCAACTTCTCGACGCATGACCAGCCGGCAAATCCCGTTAGCAAAATGACAACTTTATATGTGTGTGTGCGCGCGCGCGCGCACGGAAGGAAAAATATAGGACAAAACCGCGAAAGGAACAGATAAACAAGCATTGATCGATCGGCGGAAAAATATAGGACAAGTACAATATCAGAGAAGTAAAGGTTGCTTACAAGGGACTTTGAGCTCCGTCGGCTGGATGCCGAGAAATCCTCCGTCACTCATGTCTGCTTGTGCCTTCAGATCGAGGCCGTCAAAAACTAATTCTGAGAAGATGAGACGAAAAACCAATGGATTCAGGATTTCTTTCCCCTTTCTCTGTTCTTTCCTTCGCCTCCTCCTTCGCCTCCTCCTTCGCCTCTAGGGATTGGGGCAGTGGATGAAGGCTACGAAATGAGGAACGCCAAAGGAGTGGCAGAGATGTCTCGTCTCGCGAGAAAGCTGGGGGAGGGCGGTTGGGAAAGGGCGAGGGCGCGGTTGGATGGGATACTGGCGATCGTGCTCTCTCCTCTGCCCCTCCTCTCCGTCGATTAGTTATGTGATGATGGCCATCGGTGTCGTGTGTACCGCACCTCCATGGCGCAGGGTACGGATGCTACAGAATCCCAAACTTGGAAAGGCCTAGAGCCCAGGGCCCGGGAACCAGGCCCGAAAAGTTTACATCGGAGGCCGCCGACATCTTTCATCTGGGTCAAGCTCTCTGTGACCATAACAACAAACGAAACACCGGGAAAGATCGTCCGTGTCCCTCGAAGAGGAATCAACTAGGGCAGAGAAGGTCCAATGAGAAATCAAGAAGAAGGAGAAGGAGAAAAGTGTAGATAGGGTTCTAAGACCAGAAGAGTAGTGAGAGCATCCGGAAGCGAGCTTGGCGTTCGTAGGCGGAGAGTTCGACGTCGAGTTCGCCCTCCGTCTTCCTCCCTTCCTCGAGGAGCTCCCCCCAACGACCGGGCCGTCTCCTAAGCCACCGATCGAGGAGGACAACGGCATGGTTATAATTCTTATTCAAACACAAAAATATTTCAGGGAATTTATTATCCAAGGAAATGCTATCTGCAACAGAGTGTTCCCTATAAAAAGCAAAAACAAAACAGAAACACGCACGAACGTGAAGAAAATAAATAAAATAAAGGCACATAGCGAATAAAAATAAGAATAAAAACCAAAAAAATAAGAGATGATGAGATGCACCATTTCTAATTTCTCGATCAATAATAGTTAATACATACAAAATCTTTATGATAAAAAATAGTTTAGATTTATTATTGTTGGGTGAGAGTATTCGAAGGATGAAGGAAACCTCAACAATTAGGCTTTTATCGATGGTCTTAAAATTGGATATAGTTTTTGTGCTAATATAAAAATTTATTTATGCAAATTAAAAGAAATATTATTATTTTGTGAGATGATTGATATATTTTTGAAGCAAAAAAATATTATTGTTATTAAAAAAAAAAACCTAAACATACAACCAAGAAGCCACTCAAGCATATAAGCTCAAAATTGTTGAATGACTATCTAGATTTCTTGAGACAATAAATTTATTATCGTCTTTTCTTTTCTTCTTTTCTTTCTAATCAATTTGTTATATTGTTATTGTCTTAAAGAAGAAGACTCCTAATTAGAATAGGACTCTTAGTCGAAGTCAAACATGAGCTTCGAGCTTAGATTTGAGTAGATCATATTTAAGTTGAATTGAAGTATGATAACTCGAAATGAATTGAAGTAGGACTCCAACTAAGTTTGATCTTAACTATGACCTATATTTGAATAAAAATTTATTGAGACAGTATTTATTCATGCATTTCCCTCAAAGGAACATAACACTGTCTTTAGAACCATCGAGGTGACAAATGTTTTGTTCTCTCTTTTCCCAGAGGAAAAGAAGAATGCATTGGCTACGGGGAAGTCAATGTAGGGGGGGATAAGAGTCAAAAAGAACAAAGCTCAGAGCGAAATAAGTCCAAAAAAAAGCTTTGGATACATATAGGACATGAGGTGTCGGACCTTAAAAGCAACATCATGAGCTTTGCTTCCCATGCTGTCTGGCTCAGGGAGGGTAGACATCAATCACTGGAGTCAGAAGCATTGTCTCCTTAGTGGCCTCTGTTTCCAGTAGTTGTCATGTGTGGGGATGAACCAGTTATCATGGATCCTCTCTTCATCGCCATCATCCATCAGTGACATGTTTGTACCACGTAAAAGTACGTACCCATTTCCCTTTGTAGCGTATAATTATTGGGTTTTGCTTCCACAAGTATATCCCGGGTATACATGAACATGAGGATGCAGACAGATATCTATACGTATAGAGCCACAGCGATGGTACATGGACACTGTACATACTCATCGCATGAACCACCATAGATCATCTATTCTAATGGGTAGGTTATAGTGTTATATCTATTCTCGATCTACTTTTAAATCTGAAGAACTCTCCTTTGCTTTTGTCACCTATCCTTTTGGCCGTGAGTAGTGCCAACTAAATAAGTAGAGAAAAGGTCGGCGAGGATGATTAATGCAGTGTTTGGATTCTGTAATTACATAGATATATAGAGGATAGATGGAAGGAAGTGATGATTAGATAAGATTAGATAGAGAGGGTGTCAGGAGGGCTTAAGGTGGGTCTCAGGCCACTGGCGTGGAAGGAAAGGAGGGACGGGGATAGGTGGTGGTAGCATGATGAGTGGTCACATGAGAGCTTTCACGCAGGCATCATGTTATCTTCGTCTACAAACAACACTTACTAACATCACCTTAATAATTCTTCCACGTCCCGATGCCTTTACATTGCATGCATCTCATGTCCACTTAGTTCCCAACAGCCCACCTTTTTTGACCTTGGATCTCACACCTCTCTCTCTCTCTCTCTCTCTCTCAGTGTGATATATAGACAAATAGTTTGCTTTAAGGAAGAAGGGGATATAGCTTTGCTTGCCTGCATGGATTCCTGGTGGGTTCTTCTAGTCCACAAAATTGAAGGCCGAGTGGGTGGGAGGCATTTTTGTACTGCTGCTTCCTTTCTCTCTGTTGATCAAATCCAGTGTTCTGCTCCTTCTCTTGTTGTAGCTCTCGCGAGGAACGCAGCTTCACTTGGTTGTCGGACGTTCTCTGCATAGGTGACCTGAAAGGGTAAGCAAACATAGGAAGATGATCTGACGTGCTATATACTCTTATGGTTTCTTAGGGTTTCCAGCAGCTGATGCTTCTTCGGACTCGACTTTGATGTTACCAGCATTCTTTTTGGTGACAACGGAAGCTGCCAAATTGTCGAGCTGAGATAAGTAAGATGTTCATCTGACGATATCCTTTACTTGTATTTTCCTGTGAGCATCAAATATTGCATTATGGTCAATCTTCTTCATAGCCAATTGCTTATTAACTCCCAGCTGTATCTTTCTTTGGCCAACGATTAATTCTTCCCCGTAGGGTTTGGATGATGCATGCTAGAATTCCGTAGGAACTGATCTGCTTCAAAGACCATCGAATGCTTTAGTTGTATGCTTGTGTCTAGCTTTGCCTTGATCCATACCCTGCACATCAGTAGATGCAGAACGGGCATGACATCCTACCATCATTACTACAACTTTAGTGTTACGGACAAAGCCTAATTTTCCTGGAGTTCTTATGGATTCAGTACATAGAGCATCATCCACACCTAGCCTTGAAGTCATGCTATCTATATAAACTGGACTATTCACTGGATGAACAAAAGCTTCATGGTACGTACCTGACAACATGGTTAGTATTGCTAATTCGTCCTTTTACCGTCACAAATTTATCTGTTTTATGTTCTAAATTATGATGATGATAGTTGTTCTGTAAGTGTTGGCGTAATGGTCTGTAACACTCTTTATCTGCAACAAAGCTGTGTTGCTCTTATCGTCATCGATACGTACATAAACTGGAAAAAGGCAAACCTTAAAACTATTCTGACTAGAATTCCTTTACGTGTAGCTTTTCATGTTTGTGTTTGTATTCGATGCAATGACATGCAAAACTGAAGCATGAAGCTTCCTTGTTCCATGAAACGATTAATGGATTGCTCTTTCAATAGCTTTAAAACCGGTTCATGTTCTTTCTTTTCTTGCATATCAGTGGTTCTTTCTCTTCACGTCTGACATTTGGTTTTAAGGTAACGGATGCTGTACGCAGAAGGTCCTAAGTTATATTGAAAGATGGAATGGATAGTGTGCGATTGATTTCATATTGGTTGTACATATTCTACAAAATGACTTTGATCGTTTGAGCCTCAGCAGGCGACTTCCTGCGGTGCAAATGTCATGCATCGTAGTTAATTTTCTGATGAAGCAAATAACATCACGGCACACATTCATATTAGTAGTCTTTGCTTCATTCATAAGTAGGAATATCTAGAATAACAGCCGCATCGCAATCGTCTAGTACCTTATGTACACAACCATAATCATCACTCGCACATATATGATTCATATCGTGCTGGCTACATAGGAGAATTCATGTTTCATTTCCACGGATACATTTGGCAGCTCGACGTGGATGTCGACGGGAACTCCATGGCAACTTCTTGTTCATCGGCAACTTGAAGAAGGTCGTCTTCATCCGAGTAGATAGGTTTCTTTGAGCCATCATGGCTGAGCTGAGCTGCAACGAACTTGTCGAGAATCCTCCAATCCGTCACTTGGTCTGATGCTTGGCTTACGTTTTCATCGTTGTTGTCCGTCGTGGTTGCCTGAAGTTGGTGTCGAGGTTGCACTGCTTCATTCTCCGAGAAGATGAGTCGCTGTAGGGAGTCTCCGTGGTTCAGGTAACTAAAAATCATGGGGGGCTCTACTGGTGGGAGCTCGTGATCAAGAGCTTCGTGCGGCGAGCGGTAATGCAGTTTTATCTCTCTCTTGTAGGAATAGAGTTGGTGGTGATGATGATACTCCATGGCAGGCTGCGGCATGGTCCTCTTTGGGGAGTCGATGTCTTGCATGAAGGAACCTTGCTCATCGTACCATGGCAATTCATCACTTGCCTTTCTTGCGGTCGGCACTCGTTTCTTGAACACCCTGCACACAACCCAACCCTCTTCCTGTAACATGAAGTTACAGGACACATATGATCACGATAAGATTGTAGAAAACCATGTCATGCAGAATAATCATCACTTGCAAGAAGAGATCAATTTTGCAAGAATCTATTCAGACATGGCACTTCAAGACTAAAAATATCAAGGAATTGCCGGGAATATGAACTTGGTTATTGTTTCAATCTGCAGTAAACGCTTTAGACTAAACGTAGCAGATGAAAGAGTCGAGTAAATCACAACATGAAGCTGCTTAATTCAGGCTAAACTAAGTCAAAAATGCAACCAACCAAAGCCACTTGAATTTCTTGTATAATTAATTATATCGTATGTTGCAAGTGGTTTATCTAATTATAATCATTCTGGTATAAGATGTAAATGTTTTGTATAAGATCAGGACATGTATATATATGTGGCTATCGATTTTAAAGGAGTTTAGCTAAGACGGCAATGGTGGCGTTTTAGTTTGCAGACTTTAAAGAAGAATATTAGAGTAGATATGAATGCATGCTCTGCATGAGCCATCGTTGTTCTATCAGTCTTTGACATGAGAAGGTGAAGTTTAAATGAGAATAAACTTGCCTGTGGAGGTCCATTTTCACTTGTTTCAAGACGGTATTCATGCATGATCCAATCTGACTTTTGACCATTTGGTGCTCGACCCTTGTAATAGACCAAAGTCTTCCTCATTCCGACCAATCTATGCTTGGAGTAAATCGGCTTGTCTCTTCCAGTGGCTTTCCAGAATCCAGCTGTGGTTGCTCGGTTAGTTCGAGTTCCGGTTGGATACTTCTTGTCCTTGTGGCTAAAGAAGTACCACTCGTTCTGCTCTTCTGCTCCTATCCTACAGATCTCTATGTGATGGTGTAAACATGATCAGTTCAAGTCTGAAAGGAGCAGAAGTACTTGAGGTTTTGTGTGAGATGTACCCTGAAGATCCCAAGGTTCGATTTTATACAAATCCACATCTTTTATTACGTCTAAGTCGATTTTTCTTGCAGCCACTTTCTTCCTCAGGTAGTAATCTACCAGTTCTTCATCGGTGGGGTGGAACCGAAAGCCCGGTGGAACGTGCGAGATGGTGTTCATACTCTTGCCGTGATGTTGCGCCAAGTCCTGCAAACCATGTCATGATAATAAGCATAGTTATCTTTGCTGTGATGGAGTATCACTGCACCAAAGATTTCTCTGCAGAAGTGTAATTATATATATGTCAGTTCTTCTTTTCTCTGCACCCTGGAATACATGCATGGCATAAAACCATCATATATCAGCACTACTCCTTAGGGAGATCATATGCAACTCTCGAGCTTTAGTAATGTCAAACATTTCTTCCATCATCATATGTGAATGACAGTTGTTGAACCCTATTACAGTTAGAAAACACCTTATTTCTATTATAAAAGATGAGATTTCTTTTTATGCTAAGCATTGCCACAGTAAATCTTATTAGTTTTCCTATGGTATCAAATGAACTTGCAATTCTGAATGAAAGTATTTGAAAAGCATCAAAGCCTGAAGATAAGTTGCATGTTTAGTGAGATAAAATATGTTTTGACCTTCATTTTGTTCAACTATTTTCTTCATTTTGTTTTCCCAACACATCTGTTGCCTTCTACACGCTAGACATTCGTCACAACTTAGGTTTGAGGTCCATCGAAGACTCAAAGGAAGATAAAAAAGGCTCCTGACATATATTTGATCCGGTGGATATCCTCAAGGAATGTCTCGTAAAAATGTGGCCTACAAAAGAACGATGGTTCACTAGTGAGATTTCTCTTTGTTTCTGAACAAAGCAATATAGCAATGATTTATATCACGCATGAAGGTCCTCAAGAATAGCTCAAGAGAATGTTGTCACGCTATATATGGACAAAGCTCATACGTAGTTCACTAATCCACCCATGAAATATCTCCTTCCATTTAAGTGTTTGTCGCAACATCTTGCGAGAAAAGAAGTGAAGCAGATCTCGTAACGATCATGTTCGCGCTTCTCTATGCCATGGATCTCTCATTCCGTTGATCGAGGACTGTAGATCGCATGAACAAGGTGCATTTCTAAGAAATGCTTTCATGAGGATGCTTAGGGCGTGCGGTGAGCGATGATTAACTTGACATGCAGATCTCCACCGAAGTGGACAAAATAACGAGAAGAGGAAGAAAACCATGGAGATCTTTAGTTGCATCTTAACTCGCTGACCTAATTTCCTTCAAGGAGAAACGCAGATATCCATGATCGACGAAATTTAACATTCTCAGTATGGAAAGCTCACCTGTAGGTATTACCTGGAGAAAGACGGCGATGAAGGCACTGAGATCTAAGCAGGTAAGATCTGGATCTTTCGTTCTCCCGCACTTTTCTCTCAGAGGGGAGCACGAAGACGGATCAAACCTGTCTTGGGACTTGAACCACTCAACAACGTCAAATTTCTTCGGATTGGCCAGTACGTGAAGTGAAATGATCCGAGCCCAACAAGAAGACGCAGCAGAGATAGAGAAGAAAGGAAGAAAAGAGGCAGCTGGAGAACAGTGGTGGAGAAATAAATGGGAGATGGCAACTTTTCAAGTGTTGGTCATGGATAACATGTCTCTCAGGCTTTCTTCTGCCACCCAAAAAATTGTAGGGAGAAAGATCAAAAGCCTCCTCTGCAACCACCTCGCGTGCCGACGAGCGAGAAGGTGATGGAGAGGAGACGGGCGAGAGCGAGAGAGAGAGAGAGAGTTGCAGAGAACGGAAACGGGGGACAGCGGGTATAATAAGTAAAGCTTCGGTGAGGCTCATCCGCTTTCACCCACCTTCCCACTATGCAAATGCTAAAGAAATCAAAGATATATCTATATATATATATATATATCATATTTTGGTATGTATGTATATATCTATTACATGTAAATATAATAATAATGGTCGAACAGCGTTCTATCGGTGTCACGGAAACCTATGAATGAGTTGTGTGGATCAAAAGATGACCTACTTGATGAGCTCATCAGAACTAACGCATCTCTCTCCCCTCTTCTCTGACTCGAAAAACATAAACAGTTTCTTCTGCTTTTGTTTCTGCGTTACATGATAAATAGAGTTGTTGTTGTCTGTGAGGGTTAGGAACAGTCTCCAGCCACAAACAAAGTGGGAGCTTAGAATGACAAGCTCGACAGAGGTAATGATATTGGTTTATCAGGTTATGCAAGCAAATAGGAGTCGGATTTGCAAAGTACTACACACACCTCCGATTAAAGAGGAGGACATTGCCGGAGACGTAATTGAACAGCCACCTCCACTGCCCACTCCAGCGTGTGTGGGACCGCCCGCACCTTCTATCCATCCATCCATCCATCCATCACCTTTTCCTTTTAGATTTCTTTTGGCGTCGTCCCCACCGCCCCTTTCCACCTTCTAACATCATGCTTCTACCCTAGCTCAGCTTTCAGCCATTGCAGAAACCCACAAAGCCATGACCACTTAAGTACATCTCCATTTGTCTGTCCTCCGCCATGGCCTTGTCCAAGTTTTGCCTAATTAGCAAGTAGCTTCAGCGAGTAACCTGTTCTCTCATGACTGGCACACTACGGAGGAGGGTGAGTGGGGGACGGGCCCCACGAAGGAGCGACAATGATGTGGATAGGCGAGCCCGTGGGTCCCGGCGTGGACTGGCCCCCATCATTAGGCACGCCATATACGTCTATATATATACTTGTCCTGTTCGGAAACACATGCACGGCAGGTTGGGTCGGCTTTTCCACGGTTAACACGTGCACAGCCCGTCTCTCTCTCTCTTCCTCTCTGACCTCCTCAAATTCTATTACCGAGAGTCAAGTCTTGTGCATATTTATCGCATCATCCGAGTTAGCACCGTATTATTTGGTAACTCGAGATTTTTTGACCACCCAAATTTCGGGCCCACCCAATATGGAGCCCGCGTCGAGCCAGCACAGAGCGCACCATGGTAATTCTAAGGCGGACCCCAGTCATGATTGCTTGGCGCACGACATTGAGGCCCATGAACCCGGTCCATAACGAATACTTTCTAATCGGAGCAAAAAGACCGCCCATTAAGCCGCTGGGGTCGAACCCGGTCCGGGCCATCCAATACAAATGGCACGTCACAATTCTTGTTCATTAAAACCGATCCAATTTTATAAATTATAAATATAGCTAAAATTACTTAAATATTTTTTTATTGAATATAAATATGTATGATAATTTTGAGATTAGGATGACGTGAGAAAGAAAGTGAGCTCACTCGTGTAATTGCTTCTCTATTTGGGCCACCCTCTCTGGTCGTCTATCTCAAATCTCCCTTCACTTTCTCATCATCCTTTACCCTTTCATCACCAACATGATAAACTATAAATATACATTTGATCATAATGACTATTTCTTTTATATTATTGAACACTTTGTTTGGATTTAATTCATATTTTGGATATCATCAGATATTATTTAATCTAGCTAAAAATTTATGTTTAAAATGATGGTTGATTTTTTTAAATTATTTACTGTATTATTGCTGTTATTAATTTTTTTATGCCTAATATTATTTATTATATTATTTAAATTTTTTAATAATTTATATTATATATATTTTAAAAAAGTATTTTTAGATAAATAAAATCAGTTGTTCGGACGGTCGAAGCAATAATATGATTACAGCATAATATGATGCCCGATTACACCATCAAAATAATCATCACAATAGGGTTTATTTTTATTACACCATATAACTTAATTCAAATCATGCGTGTCAAGAGACTCAATTCCCAGCCTTTCATTGTTGCACGTTTCCCAAAATTACATGTATACCCTCAACAGACTCGAAGATTAAGGGCCCGATGTGTGGATCGTTCCACCAAAGAACTCGGGCTTGGAATTGGGCCCGGCGTCGTCGTCTTCATCCGGCATTCCGCCTCGCTCGTTTAAAAACCCAGAAATGAAGTCCGGGTTGGAAACGGGTCCCGCTATGGCGCCGTCCTCATCCGGCGTCCGCTGCTGGCGGACGGCGTTCCTCACCCTCCGAGACGAAACCCTAGCCTCGCCCCCTCCCCCCGCCCTGCTCGCTCTCCTCCGCGATCTCATCCTCTCCCACCCCTCCGACGCCATGGTCGCCGCCGCAACCGATCTGCCCCCTCACGAGGTGACGCTGGAATCCCGTTCTCGAACCCTTCTTTTTGATCTTTGGGTTGTTCCTGAGGGAGCGAGATTTGATGGTTTCAGGTGACTTCGGATTTGGTTCTGCTCGCTGAGCTGGCGTCGGCGGCTTCGGTGTGCAAAGATGTGGATGATGTGTTGCTGTGGACGTGCCATTTGGTATTCTTTGTGCTTTCTTGCGTTCTCGATGCATCAAGTTGATCTTGATGCATCAAGTTGATCTTGATGCATCAAGTTGTTCCTTCGATGATCTAGCTATTCGAAACAGTGATCCAAGTCACTGGGGCTTGGGATACAACTTGCTGATTTTTCTTTGATTATATCTTCAGGATTCTAGTGTTCAGTATATCAAATTAGATGCTCTGATGCATACGGGTTGAGAATTTTAGATCATCGGTAGGATTCTTTTTTTTGGATTCAGAAGGACGATGCACCCGATGAATTTTGTTTGTTCTTCCATAAACTTTTATTTTGGCTAAGTAGAGCTTGGCGCTTTGGTCAACAAGCATCCTCACACTGAGGAAACAAGTACTCTACCCCTCCCTAGTCAAAGAAACCAAAGACAGCCACAATTTAAAATCTCTTTAGAAAGATAGACCAAGATTCTAATAAGAATAAAAAACAATAAGAGCAAAATAATTGTTTATTATCTCTTTGTAGATACATTCTTCTATGACCAAAATTTGGTGGATTGAAAATCCTCTGGCGACAGAGATTAAGTTCCTGGAAGTACCATCAATGACAGTAAGTAATGAATCTGAGCAGTTTCTTGAGATGTTCTTCTTCTCTGACTTATGTATAGAAAATTCTATGACCTCAGAAATTAAGTTTATATCGTGGACTGTCCTGTGCTTTACCTGTCTGTGGCCATCATGTGTCATGCTTTATACCATGATCTTTGTACTGATGGTTTCGTACTAGAATGCGTGAAGGTGAAACCTCTGGAATGATTAGTCCCTTTTGATCCATGAATTTTATTCAAAATTGCATTATGTAAATGTGCTATCGATTTTAGGTTGATATCCTTTTTAACAGGGAAAAGATGATATCTTTGTCTGATACTAGTCATAGGCTTTGCATGTCTTGTAATGTTATCATCAAGTGTGTTTGAGATTCTATAAAATTTTCCTTTTTTTTGTGTTTGAAATTCTATATTTTCTGTTCTTTTGTGATATTTGGTTTTCTAGTGGTATGACATTAATAATTGTTGGTATGACATTGTGTCTTAATATGTAATCAGAGATTGTTTTATTATACATGCTGCCATTACCATTTACTGCCCCTGATGCTGTTCATATCCAGTGCAGATACATGCTGTTAGTTGCAAAGTCTTCCTTGGCATTAGTTCTTCTTCTTGGACCGTAATACTGAACATTCTTAAAAGGGTTGTGGAGCACTTGCTTGGTAATACTGATAATAGTAGTGTTTGTATGGACGACACTTCTAGAATGAAAGCACTAACCGAGGTCTTAGATATTCTCAGGTTAGTGAACTATAACAATTTTGTTAATAGTTCTCAGCCTTCTTTCTCAGTTCTTGTTCACTTGCTTGGTGTTTGTTCGTTGATAATGAATCAACACAATCTGCATATGTTGTTTTCATCTGAAGCAAAAAGATAAATAAGAGAATTCTTGAAGTTGTATTACTATGCATTTATCTTTAGATTTCATCATAACAACCTGATGTCTAAGTCCATTTTTTTGTGTAATATGTGAAATTGGCAGTGACGAAAAGATTGCCTTGTCGAGGAGACCTCCTGTTTGCACTATCTAAGGTCATTTAGGCATTGCCCAACATAATCACAGTAGTTGCTCTTTGAAATTCTGTAGTTACTTATATATCATTTTGTTTCAACCACATTCATTATAGGATTATTTGAGCATCATAGCCGGGCCTGTTAAAAATATTTGAAATAATAAATGCATGTACGAGCTTGGTTAATCGAACCTAGATGATATTTGAGCATAGCTAAATTTCAGATTGGTTGCCAGTCCAAAGGTAGTGTTTGGTCTGATCATGATTAAGCCTGCGTCAATCTTGGCACATTCATTTTAATGCTGGCATCATTGGCATCGATCATGCAGACAAGTTCTTGCTTGGCTCATGTGATGATCATGCATGTTATGTTTATTTGGGCTCATTACAAAGCATCTCTGTATTAGAAAGCCACGTACAGTCTGTCTGGGATTGTTGAGCTAAACTTGTAGCCCTAGTCACCGATTCACTCATTTATGTTCATGGATTTAAACACCTTAGTGTACTGACTGTATCAGGCCTGTAGATAATGTATCATATAATATTGAGTTATATGATGCTTCTACTTATGCTTTATTTGTTTAGTGATATTAGTGAGGACAATATATCAAGGTTCGTCGTACTATGTTATACCACTTAGTACGGGCGGTATGTACCAGTCCGATAGGGGACCGGTATTGGCGGTACATCGGTATGCTCCCATGTACCATGTGTTGGTATGTTTGGTACAGCTCGATATGTACCGTACCGACAGCTGGTCGGTACATTGGTACGGACCGGTAAGATGAACCATGCAATATATGCTGGTAGCCTGGTACTAACATACTTTATCAGTATCGGTACAGTGAATATGCAATGACCACCATTCTTAGTTTCGGCTATTTGGGGATGACTACATGGATCCTTTTTCCTGCTATTATTGAGCTTTATTTAGGTCGATTTCCAACAAAGTATTTTTAGGTATCCTCTAGCTTTTTTCCCACCAATAATTCTAATCAACTTGCATCATCTAATGTGGGCATCTATATCCTCTAGAGTTTAAATGATATGGGTTCAATATCTCAGTTTTGATTTCTTGAGTTCTTGATGTCTTAACCAGGGCACATTGGATAGCAAGAAACTGCAGGTGATGTCTTGAGCAGGGCACATTGTAGTAGTCACAAGTCTGTCACATGGATCCTTGGTGCCTTATTCCTTTCTTTGGACCATTAATTCAGTAAACTTGTGTGTGATTAATTTTTTTTATATCAAGTTTGTCATGATCCCAAGTTTTCACAATTTGTGTGAGCGTCATTTAGCTAGCAGTTGCTGCTTTGTCAACAGCGTTCACGAAGGGGAAACCTCAGGATGGCTGATAAGCATTTGGGTCGATCAGACCACTTCATGTTAATTCAGTAATGCAGTTGGGCTGATTGTTGGCTTCTGCACATGGGAGAAAATTAGTTGGTTTAAGCCAGTGCCAAAATCAATAAATCCAACCAGTGCTTTGGCTGGTTATTTTGGTTGGTTGAGTCAGCATAAAACATGCTGTCCAGCATGCCATCCAGCTGAGCTGCTACCTAGTTGTTGGCTCATCACCTAATCCTGCTTCTGTTTTTTAGGTATCTTGAGACAAATAAGTGTCTGGTGACTCAGGCCTTTTCTGATCAAGCTCACTATAGGAAACCGGTCAGAGAACACAGATTTGTTTTTACTTCTGTACAAGTTTTCTGTCCAAATTTACCATGATAAGAAAGTCAGGTGCTACCTTGGCATCATTATATCAGAGGATGTCATTGAGGTATTTGTGTAGAAATGCCATGATTATAATATTACTAAATAAACCATTTTTTGGGTGCTTAGAAGGTATCATCTTTTGGTTTCTGCATTTAAAAAATCAAATACCTTTCACATTTTTGGATGCTGTAAGTTATATGACAAATAATTCTTTACCAAAATTTTCAGGCTTGCTGTCAAAGCATATAGAAGAAACAATTCATTATCTGAGATTATGGAGTTAGTCAGGCTTCTTGTTTGTCTTGTTTCATGCTTGCATGCTGAGTTATTTAGCCTACATCATCCACATGGAACCCACAGTCCTTTCAATGATTCTGGACATAGAAATCCTCTATGCAACATTTTATGGGACATACAAACTCATGCACTTTCCATGATGTGTGATGCTTTAACTGGAATTGGAACTTCTATCCCGGCCAACTTATGGCAATCAACAATTGAGGTGACTTGTTTTCTTTGTTTTAACTTGTCTCTGTATCTATAGTTGCTGTGGCATATTTTATCTTGTCACCAGGTATTGAGGAAAGTAATAGATTACTTGGTGTCGAAGAACTTGCTGCTTGAAAACTCTGTCATGTCAAGGTACTTTTTTCCCATAATTGGACAAGCAGAAGTCTTGAATATAACCTCTTATCTTTTTGCAGGCTTTTGTTGAATCTTCTTAATTGTCTGCATTTGGTTCTTTTGGAGCCAAAAGGTTCTCTTTCAGGGCATGTATGTCTGTAGCTTCTGCTGTGTCTTTATTTTGAATGAATTTTGTTAGTTAACCTTCGATAACTTTCTTTGTGAAAATCTAAGGTGCCAGGTTTGGTAGCAACATTGCAATTATTTCTTGTGTATGGTCTCCCCAGTAGATCTTCATTACGACCTATGATCAGTGATTTGAAGGAAAAAGCATTTATTTCTTCTGGCATAAAATCTGGGTTGGGGGAATCCATAAAAAGTGTTCCCGGTCCTTATAAACCACCACACTTGCGCAAGAAGGATGGTCCTAATAATGACACACTGGATGCTCAGTGTTCTTCAGACCATGTGCCTTCAAAATATGGTTTCACATCATCAGATTCGGATCATAGTGATAGCGATGGCTCTTCTAAGCATATAGACCGTTTCAGAAGCTCAAAAGTTAGGTTGGCTGCACTTACTTGCATACAGGTACTTTCTTGTTTACATTAAATCCCTCAGGTTAACTTTTCTGCAAGTTCAGGTTTGTTGCAATCTTATCAACTAAAGAAAAGATGTATTGTTGTAGGGTGCTTTAAGTCCCATGTCAGGACTTAAAGCTGCTATTTTGCTCAAAAAGTAAGATGGTTAAGCTGAATTATTTTTCATAAGGTCGAGATATTTGATGTTAGCTGTAGCTTGTAAAAACATTATTCTTCTAATGATGCCTTGGCTGTTAGACTGTTAGGAAGTTGATAGTAGTTGAGACTTGAGATCATCCAAATAAGCAGTGAATGACAAGTAGATGCAACAGGTAATGCAAAAGGCTCCATTGATAGGTTTGTGTGCATAAATCTTAGTTGTTTGCCAATTAGAGCTGAATATATCTTTCATATGCTCTTTAAAATTTCTTTGAAGTAGTTGGAGAACTTTATGAAACAAAAATTCGAAAATGTTTTCTAATGGGCCATAGAATAGAAGCTGGTTATTGATTATTTGATTTGAGATGTAGTCATCCTTTCTTTTAATGTAGACCTATTTAAAAATCTGTATAGATGCATGATGAGTTAAAACATAAAGCTATTAGATTTTTAGGTTGGAGGCCTTGCTTTTACCATGCTTGATAGTTGATACTAGGTCCTGTAATTTTTGGTTCCATCCAGTTGTCAAAATTCTGAAATCTATTGCTATTTCAAAATAGTGTGCTGAGAGCATTTTGTACTTGTTTTATTTCTATTCTAAGGATCTTTGCCATGCTGATCCAAAGTCACTTACTTCTCTCTGGATGCTACTTTTACCTGAGAATGATGTGCTACAATCAAGGTTCGACTCAATTGACCTTTTGATGCTATGAGCTTTTTTTTCTTTATTTTGTCTTTTTACCATCACTTTGTGCAATTGTTGTTCCGCAGAAAATTCGAGGCTAATCTGATGACATGTTTGCTCTTTGATCCCATAATAAAGGTAAGCTTTTTGAAAGTCTGTTGTGTGTTTTTTGTCTTCATATGGACTTCCCTTTGATGCCTTTTACCTGTGAAATATACTTAAGCTTTTTCAAAAGCCGGTTTTCTAGAAGCTCATCTTTATTGTTGAAGAACAAACTGCAATGCCACCAGTAAAGATGGCTCCTATGAAGCATGGACATGCTAGATTAAGTGGCATACCCGTGTCTAACACGTGTCAGACACGGATTCGTCATTGACACATTCAGACACGTGTTGGACGTCTGTCCAGCCTTGTCATTTTCTTTTTTAATTGTGTTGGATACGACTTAGAATGTCGAAGTCGGGATTCTGTGCCACGACTGCGAAGGTGTCGTGAAACTGGGATTCCTCACTGCTAGTGGACTGTGAAGGCTTGGAATCCTTTTTCTCACGAATTGAGGAAGGATTTTCTTACCTATCGTTGGCGTTAAATACCTTAAGACTCGATTGAACCCTTCTTCCTCACCGGCTTCCCTTCTTCCTCACCGGTGTAGCCTTTGCTTCGCCCCACCTGTGGAAGAGGCAGGCTCTGCCCCACCTGTCGCCTGCATTCGGTCTAGCGAAGCCTGCTCCCCACTTGCGTCCCATCATCATCCTTTGGCCCCGCCCCTTGCCAACTGACCTGCGTCCCTGCGAAGCCTCTGACAGAGTCGCGCTACCAAGCCCTCCGCTCCAAGTGCCCCACCTGCGACCCGATGGCTGTCGCGCATTGTCGTGTTGTCGAGCCATCTAACTTGAGCCCCCTCTCTATCGTCGCGTGCTGTCACACTCTCGAGCCCTCCTCCCCGAGCTCGCCTCTCTGTCGTCTTGTGTTGTTGTGATGATTGAGCCCTTCGCCCTGAGCCCCCTTCTGTTGTTGCACGTTGTCGTGCTCTCATGCCCTTCGCTCCGAGCACCCCTCTATGGCCATCGCATTGTCGTCGTGTTGTTGGACCCATCGCCCCGAGTGACCCACCTGCGACCCGGTAGCCGTCGCACGCTCTCGGGCCCTTGGCGACCTTGTCGGCATCCAGCGAAGCTTCTTTCTCAGCGGTGTCCAATGAAGGTAAATTAATTTACCTATTTTATTTTTTATTTTTTTAATTTGGATGGCGTCCAACGAAGGTAAATTAATTTACCTATTTTATTTTTTTAGTTTTTGAATCTGGGTTTTAAAATCTGGGGTTTTAATCTGAGTTTTTATTGCTAACCTGGTTTTTTTTACTGCTGATTATTCTAGTAGGTAAATTTATTTTTTTAGTAGTTAAATTGTTAACATATTATTCTAGTAGTTGATTCATGATTGTAGGGACAAAGCGCATCTTGGAGTGTGTTCTTCTTCATGACAAAAAAATCCATTTGGTTTAAGTCCAAACTGCAAGTTAGATGTTCATTAGTAACACAGAGATAGCAGCATCATGACTACAACATTAATAAGCTCCAACAATTGTTATGGAAATTGGACTTATTTTATTAATAAGCTACATTAGTAAGTGTATGGAGAGACTATAAAAGGTTATGGAATATTATATATATATATGTATATATTAAATATAATTTGTGTCCTCGATGTGTTCGTGTTGTGTCTGTGTCTGTGCTTCATAGCATGACTCCATTATGGAGTTGATTACTTTTTACTGCAGACTTTTCTAACACGTCAAATTCCCTGCTTTGCCACTCACTGCATATATGATGTTTTCTTTCTTACCGAGGAGCATACATGCACATTTGTCGAGGAAGATTATATCTTCTCTTGGTTTTGCATTACTGTTTGTAATCTGTGGAATCTGTCAACCTCTTCTTTCAAGTGGTTGTGTTTTATTTTCCTATTACCTATTTGTATGTTCAATCGATTCTTCCCTTTTATCTACAGGTACGGATCGAATCAACTTCTGTTTTGGCTAGTATGTTGGACGGACATTCTCTAACATTATCACAAGTAGCTGAATACAAAGAATCTTCAAAATGTGGATCGTTTACTACATTGTCTAGCTCACTGGGACAAAAGCTAATGCAATTGCATACAGGTGCATAATATTAGTCCTTATTTTCAAACTTTTAGATTGATTGGTGGAATGCTTGGACCATGTTTGTATTCTTTTATAATCTTAATTAGTTTTCTATTACTACTTCCTTGTCTGGTGTATTTTTTTGGCTACATGTTTGATTAGAAATTTGTAACATAAATCCTTCTGAGTCTTCTCAGAGGCTTATCGTTTGTTTTTGTTGAATACTTGAATTAACTTCATGTTTTTGTTGTTCATATGAATACCTGAGTGTGGGGGATCCTAGCAAGTTGCGACAATGCCAATCATATTTTTTAATGTGGCTTATTGCTTAATTTACTTAGATCAAGTAACTCAAAAGAACTTCCTAGATATCTTCTGTTTTGCGCTTCGTGTCAATCATGTTCTGTAGATTTATCTACACCACAAAGCATACGATGCTTTATGTTTCTTTTATTCTTGTTTCCCATTGAGTCTCATTTTCTTAATTTGAGATGAGTTGGATAGTCTCTCACTAATACTTTGCCTTGTAAAACGATTTTTGAATTGTTGTTTTCATCCAAGGATCGCCTTTACTGTAACAACCTTTTGTTCGTTATGTGCTAGCATGTTACAGCGTGGGCCACATACTAAGGCTCACATGCTCATCACATTGCAAAATTGGCAATGACACCTTTGAGACAGCACAGTCTCCTAGGCTAGTACCTTATGGTGCTCTACCTCTGAATAAATATTCCATGGTTTGACAATTCTTTTCATTTCCTTCTTGTTGGTTAGTATTTTCTCATTTATGATATTTAATTCTTGCATACTGGTTTATGACATGCAACTTTAGCAATACAAAGAGAAAAATTGAGGGAATATAGTCAAGAAATTTTCAAGAATTAGAGTTTCAGGTTTCTTAGATTGTTTAACAAGAAGAAACCATTCCTGAAGATACATAAACTTAAAGAAGGATTGGTACGGTACGGTACGGGTGTACCGACCGAAACGGTAAGAGGCGGTCCGCGTACCGAAAGTACCGGAACGGTAAGAGGCGGTCCGCGTACCGAAAGTCTGTCGGACCGGTACGTACCGCCCGTACCGGGCGGTACTGTTCGGTACGGCAAACCATGGTTGTAAGATCAGATGTTCGGTACCGAAAGTCTATCGGACCGGTACGTACCGCCCGTACCGGGCGGTACTGTTCGGTACGGCAAACCATTGTCGATAAGACAAGGATGTTATTATGGGTGTATGGGGTCAATAGCAAAGTTGCTAGATTCAATCAGAAATAAAATGGGAGTAAATAGTTTATAAGGTGGTATGATGTACCCAATAGGGTTTGAACCTAGCCAGTTGATTGGATTACTGCAGAGCCAAAACCAACACAAGTTTTTGATGATTTTTTTTAATGAGCCACTCTGTCCCAACCCTGAAATGGGTTCCTGTAACTCAAGGCTAGCCAGCGGTCTGGTAAGGTTGGCCTGAGTTAGTTGGGTGATACATGAGGGGCTCGTCAACATCTCCAATCTCTACCACCCAACTAAAACTAAACCTTAAACCATTAAAAGAATCACCAAATCATAACAAGGGCAAACAAATCCACTAAAATAAATTCAAATGTAAAAGCAAACACAAGAGATTTTAAATAGAAAAAAGATGCATAAGACAAATATTTTCAGTCAGAATAGGAATATAGAAGATTGTCAAAACTCAAACATTTAAAATTTTGGTCTCAGATGGTGATAGTGCCAGTAGGAGGGGAAAGCATCATGAGCAAGGTCGGTGAGGTGGCCACTTGCACCACTGATGGAGAAGTGACCAACTTTGCTGGAGGTGGCACAGGCAATGGAGGACAATGCTTCCTGCACCATGAGAGAGAGTGGTTTGACGGATATAGATTTGTGACGGTAATAAAGGATTCGAGAGATATGAGACAATGAAGGGACAACTGGTGTCAAACATTGTGAAAAAGAAAGAAGATGAGTTACAACTTAGATGTTAGGGGCAGCAGCTGGGTAACCTATAGGGGGCATTATGACAAGGGATTTCTCTTTTGTTACTTTGTAGAGAGGTTGAGTTGGGCTACCATTACCTAACCCCTCAGCCCAATCCTGACCGAATTGCTAGTTTCCACTGACACTTTTTAGCCCATTCCCAATGGTCCAAACTGAATCCTGCCAAACCCTGTGCTATATGTCAGTTTGGGCTTAGGTTAGCCTGCCCATCTTGCACACCTATATCCTTTATATTCACCAAGTACTCTGAAGATGTTTGTTGGAAAGAAAAAAAAGACAAGTAGCTGAGCTTATATTAACATAATAAGTTGAGTCAATTAGGAGTCCCTGGTGTGAACTACCCTCCAAGTAGGCAGGCGCCTCTTGATCAAACTCGGTGATAGGAAAAATCCTGTAGCTTACCCAGACAGTTGGGTGATAGGTCCCTTATTATTGTCGTTCTCGTCTTCATATTATTATGTCGTCTTCATATTATTATGTCAGTTATTCTTTCATGTGGCATCTTGGAAGAAATTTGTGTTCTATTAACCCATGAATGTGGAAATAAATTACTGTATTCATTTACAAACTTATTTTTTCTGAAGATCCACTTGACAGTGGCAGTGATTCTACATACCATATCAAATGCAGATTTTATCCATAACTTATTCCTTTTCAGCTATACGTCCTTGTTTAATTGCAGTGTCCTATGCATGATAAGTTGATCTTTGTGTTGCAGGTTTATTGTATCTTCTGCAACATGAAACTCATAATGGACTTATTTCATCACTGCTCAAAGTCATCTTGGTTTTGATATCTGCCTCCCCGTATGATTTCGATTCTCTCCTTAATGCTTATTCCTATCTGTTTTTTCATTATATTCTGAAATCTAGAATTGTTAGTGCATATTACATGATGCCCAACAGTGTTGAACCTTTCTTTCCACTATTGATAGTGTGGAGTCTTTCAAAATTTGCAGAAGGCTTTTAGTTTTCATTGTGGATTTAAGTACTGGTCCAACACTAATTTCGTTAACATATCATATCATATCGATATGACGCCGGTATACCGTTTGGTATGTCGACTAATTCTGTTGGGTTGGGTATTAATAAAAAAAAGTTGTGTGTGGTTAGAGCACTATAAAACCATATGCACCATTACCAATACTCGGTTGGACAAATATTTTAAATTGTGGCTTTTTAATTTTGTTTCAATTGTTTGAAAGTTTTGAGACTTGCTTCTTTTTTTTCCTTCAAAGGGTAAGTGGCGAAAGCAAAAAATATACTGAATGAAGTTTCGAACCCTCAACCCTTGGTAAATTAGTCTGGTACACTACCACTAGACTAATATTTAAGGTGTAAAAAATATGTTGGATGAGATTTCAAACTCTCAATTTTTGGTAAGTGACTTTGGTATATCACTATCAGACCAATGTTTAAACTTTAAAGTGTAAAAATATATCGGATGAGGTTTTGAACTCTCAACCTTTGGTAAGTAAGTCTGTACACCACCATCAGAACAATATTTAAGATGTAAAAATATATTGGATGAGATTTCAAACCCTCAACCTTTGGTAAGTGGGTTTGGTACACCACCGCCAGACCAATGTTTTAGGTAATAGGTCAGATGAGGTTTCAAACCCTCAACCTTTGGCGAGTCTGATACACCACCACTAGACCAATGTTTAAGATGCTATATATCAGATGAGGTCTCGAACCATCAACCTTTGGTAAGTGGATTTGGTACACCATAACTAGACCAATATTTAAGGTGTAAAATATAAGAGATGAGATTTCAAACCCTTGCCTTTGGTAATTGCATCTGGTACACTATCACCAAATAAATGTTTAAGGTATAAAAATATATCGGATAAGGTTTCAAACCCTCAATCTTTGGTAAGTGGGTTTGATAAATCACTACCAGGCCAATGTTTAAAATGTAAAAACCATTAATAGATGTCATATCAGACTTGCTTCTTCTTTATTGCGTATAAACCATTAAGGCAGTAACAGTACTCAATTTATCTTTTCTTTTGTGATATTATTTTGCATTATGTTTGTTTATAATTTACTATTTAACAGATATGGTCGCATGCCTGGGGATTTGCTACCAACTGCAATTACATCCTTGCATTCAAAAACGAAGGAAATCCTTGCCTCCAAAAATGAAAATATTGGTCTTCTGGTATGCTTTAATTTGCTTTTCCTCTGAAAATGATGATGTTCGACAACATTAAAATTTACAACTATTTTTACAGGTTAACAATCTTAGTTGCTTAGGTGCATCATTTTCCAGATCCCCACCTTTATTGCTCGTCCTAAAATTGCTTGAAGAAGATATTTTACATGGTTAGTTTATTTTTATAATTACAAGCTTTCCAGTTCAAATATTCAGTTTGGTTTTCTTATAAATGTTTCAGTCTTTCTTCCTATATTTGTTTCCTTTATTTCTTTCCTACATTGCTTTGGCACACTAGTTTTTCCTTTTAGGACTGAACATATCAGCCAGTCAGGTCTTAATGCTTGATGTTGTATTTCATCAATTCTAAATAGTTGCTTGTTGTTTTTTTTTTCTGTGCAAAGAAGTTTAGTGTATCATGACATATTTCAATTTTTTTTAAAATTTGAAGAAATTACCATTACATCAAATGACGTACATGACGCTCATACGTGGATTTAAAACTGAGACATGTCACTCGTGTAACAATGCACTAACTAATTCGAATGTCTCCATAGAGACTTTTGATCTGTAATTGTTCTTGTCTGGTATACAAGTTTTCACTTTTCCACCAACTTTGCACTATGCATAATGTAGTTTTTCTCATTCTACACAACGTTTCTCCTCTTGCTTCTGATATATTGTTTTGTTGTATCATCTGTACTTAGTGCTAGTTGTTATGTTGAAGAGGTGGGCAATAACAGGAAAAATATTCTGGGGAAATTGTTATAGCATTAATTTTCTATTCAATTTGTGTTCATCAGAATTTGCAATGCAGCCAAAGATGACATTTACATTGAATGAGGCAAGGATATTTTGATAACTTTGTAAAGTTGTTGACTAAATGTCATAACTTACAGTTGTTACTATCCTAAGATGATTTGGGAGTTATTCTCATGAATATGTACTTGTATTTTTGTTCAATCAGATACTTTCATGGATTGGGATGATATTTATGTCATGGATTTAAGTCTCAATTGTACTGGGAGGTATGGTTTGGTATTTACCAGTTCAATGGTTGACCAATATGCTGATCAGGCAATTTTACTTGGTTTGGTCCAAATTTAAGCTTATTTCTTGATAATCTTACCATATCAGACCTATCAGGCGATAAGCTAATTAATACTGAACTTTACTTACCGTAAGCCTACCTCCCACGACTGATTTGGGGATACTTTCTTCCAAGGATTGAAATATCGTACCGTACCGGAGTTTCGACGCTCGCTCGGTATGGTACGATACTGTATACTGAGTGGTATACCGCCTTTTCCTTCTCCCACGCGGGGCGACGTCGCCTCGTTTATATATATATATATATATATATATATATATATATATATATATATATATATATATATATATATATATATATATATATTCTGTTTCGTCCGGTAATGGGCGGTCCGTGTACCGGTCAGTTGACGGACCGATACGTACCGCCCGTACCGGATGGTATTATTCGAACTTGCATACCTTGCTTTCTTCTTTGTTTTAAATAAATCTAAGCAGCTGTAATCCTTCTCTCTCTTCCCTCTTCTTTCCCCCTTTCCTTTGCCAACTCCAAGATGAGCAGCAAGAACAAGGCGGACCAATCCCAGCGTGCCACTACCTCCATTGAGCCTCTCCTCTATTACCCTTACATTCATAACGAGGTCACCTTCGTTCTTGTTTGTCAAATACTCAAGTGTATGCCTCCATCCTCTCCTTCCCTCATCTTTCTTTTATCCATTCTCTCTCTTTGCTTGTAGTTGTTTGACCCAAGGATTTTAATTTCGAATGATATCATCCGTACCGGGCGATACGTTTCGGTCCGCCAACAGATCGGTATGCGGACCGCCCGCTACTGGGCAATACTGTCAATTGGGGATGTTTCCGTCCCGTTATCGCCCGAAATTGGTCGGTAACTATCGAGTTCGACTGTCGCCGCCTGCTACCATGCGGTATTAGCCAAGGGAGAAGGAAGAAGAGGGAGAACCTGGAGATCCGGCGTTGCTCTCCCTTGACGATCTCGATCCGTCACCGCCCTCCCTTGCCGTACACGCAGATGAGATGTCGCCTCCTCGTCTGAGGTGACGAGGCCTCGGCGTTGTCGGCGACTTCTCCTTATCCGCACGGGGAGAAGAAATGAGGCGACCTCGCCTCGACGACATCGCCCACTTTTTA